GTCAGGATCACATCATTGTAGAGCTGTCAGTGCTCACACTTCTCTTCCTTTCTTTTAGGGTCTTGGACTTACATATTTGTACCAGACATGTGTTAAATTAATGTGCAAAATGCCAAACTTGTTAAGTTTGAAAATGTGCTTATCCCAGTCTAAAAGCAGCAGCATTATGTGAAGCAGAATCACACGCTCTGATATATTATCTGATGAGATAGAATCAGTAATTCAGAAGTGGCACAACATTCATAGGCCTATCTAATACCACCCCTCTTTTCATAACAGCAGTGTAGGTTGGGTTATTAGCACCCATCACGTAATCCCCAGATCTTAACATTAGCATGACATTTGGCTGTGTTTATTCATTATCTTCTCTTACAGCTCTCAAAGGGAGTGGAGAAAACCTTGTCAGTCAAGCTGTGGAGATGTATAGGCTGTAACCAATAATATTCCTACCACATTCTCTCAGCAGCATGATCACTGTCTAAGAAGATCACAGCCCAGAAATGTCAGATTACTTGGAGGAAGGATGGAAAATCCAAAAGTAAAGAACAAATTTGAATAGCAGATTCTCTAACTCATCAATACTTCTGAATGAACAGACAGATATATTGCACTGGGAATCAGATATGGAGGGATCTTGTAATAGACAGCACAATTTGTGGGATGATACAATGTTGTTTTTTTGTTATTTTTATTGAACTTAATGTTACTATGAGGGTGTTTTTGTGTGGTTGCTTACTCGCCAAGTCACAACTTTTATCACCCACCAGGTGAAAATAGTAACTCAGAAAAGTAATAGCACACCTATCCTTAAGACGAACCACAATTTGGAGGAATCATTAATGGCCACAGCATAGACGAGATTGGTTACATGGTTTAAAACTAAGGGTATGAGCGATATTCATTGTGATGTTTGCCTAATGTTGAGAATAATGAGTTTCCAAACACTCGTCCATCTTCCATTATTTGAAAAACGGCTAGTCTGATGTCAAACTGATGATTGACAGAAAAATGTTTTTCTAATTGGAACATGAGCAGGTATGTTTCAGATACAAGTGTTGTCTCTCAGGACACTTGTTTCAGTGATGTCTGTCATTTCATGTGTCGTATTTCAAAAAAAGTTTGTTAAAGGGTTAGTTCACCCAAAAATTAAAGTTCTGTCATTAATTATGTTAATTATAGACAATTGTTGTGTTCAATTCATAATAAGTGTTGTTCCAAACCCGTAAGACCTTCGTTCATCTTCGGAACACAATTTAAGATCTTTGTTATGACATCTGAGGGCTCTCTGACCCTCCCATAGACAGCAAGGTAACTACCACGTTCAAGGTCCAGAAAAGTACCAAGATGATCGACAAAGTAGTCCGTGTGACATCAGTTATTCAACTGTAAAGTTACGAAGCTAATACTTTCTTGCGCAAAGAAAACAAAAATAACGACTTTATTCCACATTTACGACAGTATCATGACGCGAGCGTGTGGCGGGGCCGGCGCTGACGCTGACCAAGATCCGGCATGATGATGTCATTACGCCGGATCTGGGTCAACGCCGCCACACGTTCGAACCACAAACACACACACTTTAAAAGCATGCAATACATTTAAAAAATGCAAATTATGAAAATGAGCACATATCATATATTACACTTCATTTCATACTAACACTTTAAGACAATTTTAGCATGAGACGAAAACTAAAGAAAAACACAAAAAGACGTTTTTTTATATTTTCAATTCATGCTGGATGGTCTGATTAAATTATCTCCCAAGCCAGGCATTCATTTATATATTTAACATTCATCAAAAATTGTGTTCTGAAGATGAACGAAGGTCTTACGGGTTTCGAACAACACGAGGGCGAGTAAATAATGACAGAATTTTCATTTTTGGGTGAACTAATAACCCTTGAAGTCATCCTTGACAGTACTTTAGTCTTTGAGGCACATGTAAATAACAGTATGCGGTCTGTGTATCATCACATACAAAATATTAATCATCTTCAACTACAGTATTTCTTGCAGCTTATAATACTATGGAAGCCCTCCGCCACTGAATAAAAAATAAAAAAGATAATTGCAACTTTTTGTATCAGAATGTTTCTCAGAATTGCATATAAACTTGCAATTGCAAATTACAAAGTCAAAATTGTGTGATATAAACTTGTAATTGTGAGTTAAAATCAGAAATGCAAGATATAAACTTGTAGTTTGGAGTTATAAAGTCCTATTGTGAGATAGAAACTTGCAATTGTAAGAAAACGGCAAGTCTCTTTCCCCTCAGAATTCAGAATATTTAGTAATTCAGTACTTTTTATCCCTCAGAATAACTCGCAATTTCGAGTTTATACCTCATAATTCAGAGAAAAGAAGTCAGAATTGCAAGAAAAAAAAGCCAGAATAGTGAGATAAAAAAATCTTTAAGTGCAAGAATAAAAGTCACAATTGTGAGATAAAAAGTTGCAATTATCTTTTTTGGTCCCACTTTATATTAAGTGGCCTTAACTACTATGTACTTACATTTAAAGGAATAATTTGATACAATGCACTTATTGTGTACATACATGTTTTTACATTGTACTTCTATTTAAAAAAATACTTGCATGTAATTACATCTGTAATTAATTTCTCTCTCTCTTTATCACACATATATGTGTGTCTATCAGTGATTCTGCTCACATCAGAATCTCATTTCATATACTGTTTTTGGCATAAGTGGTAATAAATGGTAAAATACTGTTGAACTGTACAGCTTTAGCACAGAAAGAAATGACAAGAGCAGTCATGAGTCATACCCAGTGATGCACGCAATGATTTAGGCATTGCATAAAGATATGAGGCTTATAATAGAAGCATGAAGTATGAATCAAGTCTGTCACAATACTCTCACACTTTTGAAGAATTGTAAATTAAATCAACTAAATGTTTATCTGTTTCTGTGTGGGTTAAGAGCTCTGTGTACAGAAAAATATCAAATTCAGTTGAGCAGTTGTCATTGGCAATCACAGTGGCTTTTACTTTCTGTCAGACAGGAATGATTTCTGAGTTAATCAAGTGTGTTTTTAAGTTACATACTGATGCATAAACGCATAGAGACAAAGATTCATTACGCATACAGGATCTTTAGCTGTCATGATTTGTGTCGGGCCTTTTCTCAAGAGTCTGACTGCATGTCACCGGTAAACAGAGTTGGTACTAAGCATTTCGCTCTATTTTTTTGTGTGTGTGTTAAATGCACAGAACACAATTTCAGTTGAGCCCCATCTCTGGTTAAATTGAACATCTTCTTCCTATCCAATACCTGCATATTTCCATATCGAAGAAAGTGATCGACATGATTCATATTGAAAATGATAAGCAAGCACTGTTTTGATTATGGTTTGTATATCCGCAGTCCTAGTTCTGGTTTCTCTTTTTAAATGACGAATACTGACTGCTGCCACCTGCTGTGACAGTTATTTCCTCTCATGCAGGTGCAACATGCTAATTGGCTGTTGGCTGTAGTCTTTGCAGTGAGATCCGTCGGCTTGGTGTGTCACGGCCTTTATTCTGAGTCAGGAGGCTTGCAGAACTACTTACACATTCTCATTACTATCATCAGGTTTCATCTGAGCTTTCCTTGTGTTACATTCTAAACAAGCAACGATGTTTGATTGCATTGGTTGTTGTATGTATCATTGCGGTTCGGAAATGAAATGTCAAAGGTTAATGCTATATTGTATTTAAAAATAACATACAACCTAAACCCAATATAACCCGATATAAAAATACAATTTTATGAAGCAAGATACAGTATGTGATGCAAACAACAAAATGCATTGTAGTGTACAAATAATCACTATGAAAGTGTTTTGAGTTCAACATAATATTCCCATGCATAAAAAAATTTAATATTTTTAAATATGTTACAAAAGACAGAAATGGCCATTTTTATTTATTTATTTGCTAAAATTAGTTTCAGAATATATTTAAAATATATTTACATAAATGCATTTTCTACCAATATTTTTTTGTTTATATTAAAATATATATATATATTAGAAATATACATGTATATATATATACATTTATATAGAAATACACACACACACACACACGCATATATATATATATGTATATATAAAACTTTATCAAACCATTGTTTTTATTGTATTTATTTATTGCCCCTGAAATACATTTTAAATTATGGTAAATGAAGTTTGAGACATATTATATAACTATATTATATACATATTATATTGAGATATATTATATAACTATAATTATGTATAGTATGTTTTCAAAATATATTATATAAATTTGAAAAGCATATTTCATTGAGCTTTACTGTTTTCAACATATATTTAGCATGTGTTTAAAATATATTTTGGCCAGAAAAATGTATTTTTGCCATATGTGTTGTGCAGGAAACCATGCTAAAATAACTTATTAATTGATCGTTTATCCTCTAATCATAATTTGTGTGAAAAGGAATAAACGTTGTTGGTATTTTACTGCCACTAGAGTTCTTTGCAGCTGGAAACTGCACTGAATTGTATGTATAACTAGTTTTTGCAAAAATGTATGAAGAGGCATGATTTTCCAATGAGCCTATGTTGGAAAAAAAATGTCAACATTTTCCAGTAAACCTTTGCTGTGAGTTAATTGTCCTTATCTCAGTGGAACAACTTCCTCTGATCTTTCTGTGTATCTCCCTTCCCCCCACGACTCTTGTAACCTCTCCGTGCACCGGGCAGCAGGGCTGTAAACAACACCGGGGCTATTAATTAATTAATGGCCTTTAGCCGAGCGGCAGGCTTTCTGGGCCGGGCTCAGGCAGAGAGCGTAGTGTCTCTGTTTGGAGGCATTAGGACAGCAAGAGACCAGAGCAGCATTCATGTAGGGGAGCTGGTGGCCGTTTCATGCTGAACGTCTATCAATCACCTGCACCATTGTGGTCCTGCGCAGTTGTCCGGGCAGAAAGAAGCAGCAGGGGGAGGGATGAGACGTGGGAGAAGAAGAGGGAAAATGGCGATGGAGGGGCCTAGGCATCAACCGCCTACCCTCGTCCCATTGCTGATGAGCGTGACGGCTGTGTTGATCTCACACCACATCTTCAACACCGCTGCACAGATACCAGACCCCGAGGTAAGAGCTGCTTAGATTTTACGGCCACTAAACTACACCGTTGTTGCGACTCTCTTTGTATTGAACCGCTTTTCATTTTTATGGCACTGAATGCATTGAAACAACGGCAGCGTTAAAAACACATCCTCTAGGTTAGCGCTTATGGTGTTTCAGAAACATTGACAGTTAAACGCTGTTGCACAGTTATTTCGCTATTAAAAAGCTATTTACAGTAAGTGCAAGGTCCCTCTGTTGCATCTGTCAGACAAGAAGACAATACTTTGCCTGAAAGAACCAAGGACACATATTTATGTTAACCCGCTCAGATGAAAAGCAGTGCATTAAGAAGTGTGAGCTATGTGACATTAGAGGTCAGTATCATGAAAGGTAAATTCCTTAAAGTTCTCAGAATGACTGAGAGTAAAGAAACAGATCTGCGATGTGTATAGGAAACGTAGAGGATCGTTTATGTTTCCTTTTTTCACTCAACTTGCTGAAAGAACTACTGGAATAGAGGATTTGGATAATGGCTGTCTTAAACTTCAACTCTGAAGAACATTAGTCACAAAAGATCTTACTTGCAGTATTTTTCTGTAGGAAAATGCTGCCCATAGCAGAATTATTAGTGCTGGCTATTACTATTACTTACTTTTAGAGATATGGGTAACAATTACAGTGTGCGTTATAAATCAGGGAGACATTCCAAATGCATAATACATGCATGTTTACATTGTTCCCTGATAATGTGATATTGTCAGTATTGGAGAGGAGGAAGATCCAGCAGCTGTCACTGTTAAATCATAGACGGTCTATTTAGACAATGAAATACTGTTTAAGTTTCATTGACTGCTTAAGGACATCCTGTTCATTACATCAAGAAGTGCATTACTGTTGCCACGTGAGAAATGTTAGCCGGAAACATTTACAGCAATGCAAACATTTTCACCTAATTCAAAGCTAAGGGTCATCATTTCTCACATTTTCAGAGTTAAGGGTCATCATTCGTGTTTTACAAAACGATAATCATTTACAAATGAGATCTAAAATGTCAGTTGACATTGTCAATGTTTGATTTTAAATGCACAGCACTGTAGCAATGTAACACAATGAGAGTTTTCCAAGATGTAATGTTACATTTATTTAGAAAATTCTAAAAAATGCCGGGTGAGGAAGTTGGGTTGATTTGACCCAGTTTGGGTTGATAATTGGTCATAATAAGTGACCCAGCGGTTCTGGCTTGGGAAGGCGGTTGTAAAAGAGAGCTTTGGTGATAGCGCTTCACCTCTCTGTGTTCATGGCACTCGTGACAGGAGTATGTCTGGAAAATAGAAGAAACTAATCGAAGTGAAGAGATGACTGGTGAGCGTGAACTACAACAAGATGGAATGGCTCTTGAGAGGAGTGATTGAAAAGGCTTTAATCCTGTCGATTCGCTACAATGCATGGTTTATTCCTGACTTTCAGTGTTTATTACAGGCTTTCAGTTTGTGTGTTTCTTGGCGGCACTCAAAGCCTGAGGCTTTGGCCTTAGTGGGAGTATTTTCATTGGCGAAAGATAAAATAAATGAAATAACTTGTCAGATTTGCTCTTAAATGTAAATTATTCAGTGTTTATTCAACAATGTTCTTTGAAGAGCAGATTAAATTTGGAGAACAACCTAAAAAGCATCTTAAAATGTAACTGTATGACTGTGATTTGCCATTCTTTTCTAGTCATTCTGTGAGTAATTTAAATTTATAACCCATTATGGGTTACATTTTTATTTTATTTTTTTACATTTTAACCTAGCAGTACAGTAATGTTTAAACCATAGTTGAAAAACTGCATACTGGGTCAAACATTTAACCCAAACTAACTGGGTCAAAACAAGCTAAGAAAATATAAACAAAAACATATTATTTTGATGGTCCATTTTAGACATTCAATTAACTTTAAAGGATTAGTTCACCGAAAATTTTAAATTAGCCCATGAATTACTCACCCTCAAGGGATCCTAGGTGTGTATGACTTTCTTCTTTCAGACAAATCCAGTCAGAGTTATATTATTGTAAAAAGGATGTAGCACGATTCTGAGTCTACACGACGAGGCCCGAGAAAGTACACGAGACTGGACAGGCAGAGCAGAGAACAAAAGTTTGTTGTTGTGCAGTCATGGAGGAAGATTCTGAAGAATCGATAATGGAGGACAGGTCAGGATTTACGGAGGTATACTCAAGAAAGAAAAACTCAAAACGTAAAAAATCTTCTAAGGACCAGGAAGATAGCAAATCTTTACATCTAACAGGTCACTATAGAGATACTTGTTTGTTCACATAAAAGCACCAGTTAAGTGCATTTTAGTTTTGTTTTTTCACTTCACAAATAGCGACCCAGATTCATAATTTCTAAAAAAGTTTAGAGTAGATGCCAAATTAAACTAAATAAATAAATATTAGGATAAGATGGGTAAGATACCACAATGCTACTTCTCTTGAATGCAGATGTAAAAAGAAAAAAATTAATTTAAACAAATCTATTGAATAATTATAGTCTAACTTTTGAACAATGTTTAAACATGAGTGAGTGACATGACATGACATGTGGTGACCCATACTCGGAAAGTTCACACACACACCGTGAACACACACACACACCCAGAGCAGTGGGCAATGGTGCCTGGGGAGCAGTTGAGGGTTCGGTGCCTTGCTCAAGGGCACCTCAGTCGTGGTATTGAAGGTGGGAGAGAGCGCTGTACATTCACTCTCTAACCATTAGGCCACGACTTCCCCCTATCATATGACATCAATACAGATTTGAGTGTATTGTACATTAGACAAAAAAATTATGTAGATTTGGAGGGTATTCTTTTTATTTTATTTTATTTTATTTTAAATTGAAAAGCTAATTGGGGCAGTTGGGCTGAAGGCAGTGGCATATTGTTGTGATACTTAAATCATTAGTTTCTGCCTCTCTTTTTTCCACTGTGATCACCATGTGAAAGTGCTAGTTTAAAAGCTTACTGTTGCCATTTCAGTGGTGCAATTACCTGGATATTGCAAGAGATGCAGGAAAAATAAAACATATATTTTTTTTTCTTTTATCCCTGCAGCTTCTGCCAACAGACCCTCCAA